AATCCAAGCTATGATGTAGCAGCATCTGAGAGGGTTATGGCAATTAAAATTAATTTGCATTCACTCTCAAACCATCTCTACTTTTTGCTGTTAGCTGCTCCTTTGTATTCAGGTCAGGTCGTAGTAAGATAATGTAGCATTTGGGAATGAAGATGCAGCCCAGCAGTCCAGCACTGGAGGCCAGAATGGAGAAGACCTGCACAGCTACCATATATTTCCCTTTGGTACTCAGGTAGGTGGGGACAAAGGACACCCACACACTGCAAAAGACCAACATGCTGAAGGTGATCAGCTTGGCTTCATTGAAGGCCCCAGGAAGGTTCCTGGCCAGGAAAGCCACCGTGAAACAGATGGCAGCCAAGAAGCCCATGTATGAGAGGGCACTGTAAAACATGATGATAGAGCCTTCATTGCACTTCAGAACAATCTCTTCTGGCTGGGAGTGCACGTCAGACTCGGGAAATGAGGGAGAAACTCCCAACCAGACGGTACAGATGATAACTTGGAGACCAGAGCCAGAAAGGACAATAGAGTTGGCTAAAATCTTTCCCAACCATCTCCGCACAGAATTCCCAGGTCTTGTGGCCAGGAAGGCTAGCACCACTGTAATCGTTTTGGCTAAGATGGAAGATACTGCAATAGAGAAGATGATGCTGAAGGATGTTTGCCTGAGAAGGCAGGTGGCTGCCCTGGGACGACCAATGAAGAGGAGGGAGGTCAAGAAGGACAACAGGAGAGAGACCAGAAGGATGTAGGAAAGGTCCCGGTTGTTGGCCTTGACTATGGGTGTTTCTAAGAATTTGATGAAGATTGCTAAGACGAAGGCAGTGAACAAAGACAAGATGAGGCTAAAGGAAGCCAGGATTATGCCCAAGTCTTCTTTGTAAGACAAGAAGGTTACTTTCTTGGGGATGCATTTGGTTTGGTCTTTATTTGGATGCTGATCTTCTAGACATCTTGTGCACTTCTCTGCATCTGGGGAGAAGACAGGCAAGAACTCTTAATTTTACACAACTATAATAAAACAGTCTTTTTGAATATGCTTATGAATTATCGCTAGGATTCTGGGCTTCGAAATCCGAGTCTGTCAAAGGAGAAATTCTCTGAGGATCATCTGTGATGAACTGGTTCGCTCCGACGATCAGCTGATGGCCCTACCTTCCCACCACTCTTTACCAGTGGTGGCTAACCTTTTTGGGTTCCTGTGCCGAAAATTGCATGCACGGTTGCACTCGTGTGCTCGCGTGTCAGCACCCAAAGGCAATGAGAATGGCCTCCTTCCCCTTACTCATGCGCGTGTGACCCACCATGTGCCGCACATCTCTGCGCATGTGCACACAATCCCCCCATGTGCCATGCATCTCTGCGCATGCGTGTAAGATCCCCTGCATGCACCGCACGTCTCTGGGCAAGCTCGTGAATCTCCTGTGCCCCTTTCCCCCTGCGCATGCACACACCAGATACCTGACAATCAGCTGTCAAGCAGGCGGTGCACACGCATGTGCAGTGGGGTTCTTCCGGGCAACCTCTCGCGTGCCGGCAGAAAGGGCTCTGCATGCCACTTTCAGCACGTATGCCATAGATTCACCATCACGGCTCTATACTGACCTATATTTCCTGGTTTTGAAGCTCAGCTGCTTCACGCGGCACAAAGGATCGCCACGTGTCAGTTGTTGAACCCACAGGGAGAGTGCAGGATTTCAGGAGAAGGCCAGTATCAAACCCTCTGTGGGCACGCAAAGCATACATCTGGTGCCTGCGTACCCGCCCACAGAACCAGTGGTAAAAAAAAAGTTGAATCCCACCACTGCTGGTTGCACATTTTAGGCAAGCTTGCTTCCAAACATCTCTAAATGGAGATGCTTTTATGATTCTCCACCCCATTCTTCATAGATTTACCTTTTCCCTTAGGGTTCCATACCTTCCTGAGTGGAGATGGTGCCTTTTGCACACATGACACATCTGTAGCAGCAAAGAGGCCTTCCTTCCAGGACCACCTTGGCTTGGCCAGGACGACAGCTTTCGGTACACCTGGAGCAAGGCAGAGACTGACCCAAAGAGAAGGAACATCAACCATAGAAGATTAAATGGTGCCATACTCATGAGACATTAATCATTTCAAGGGAGAGGGAGTTCAGAGAAAGATCCAGGCCCAACCCTTCTTCATTCTAGGGCACGCAGGGAGGAACGGAGAATAGAGGAAGGTAGATTATGTGCCTTACACTGGAGGAAAGGGCCCTGATTCCCTTCATTAGCCACAGCTGGGAAGGGAGTTTAAAAGAGATGCATGCTGAGTGTGGCGTCTGCTGGGAACAAATGTGAGTTTAACTTTGGTTATCTGCGTTCCTGGCATCCTCCTAACTGGGTTGAGTTATTGCTGTGCCTTCATGTCTGGAATTCCTTCTCCTGCCCTGCTGGACTAATTACCTCATTTTGCCTTGTTTGGACTTATACAGGTTTTTTTTTTAAAACAAATTTTATTAATTTTAAAGACAAACAAATCATCATTAACCATTACACATTTGAACCTTTTTCCATTATAAATTTTACAAGTCAAATAAAACCCTATTTTATACAATATAATTCTATTTTAAACCATTTCCATATGAGCATACAAATACCTCTTATCCAGTTTCTCTTTACTTCTCTTTACTCTTATTCAATTTCACTATTATTATTTCATCTATTTCTTTCTGACTTGGTTACCATTATTCTCATTCTATATTTCTGCAAGGTTTTATTAATTCTCCCAGAAACATAAACACACAATACACAAACATATAAAAAATCTTTTAGGAAAGTAACTTGGCCCCAGGTACCTCTCTCTACATGGACTTCAATTATATTCATGCTCATCTTACATGTCATTACCTATTTTATTTACCATTCTATGTCTTCTATATTAGCTTCTCCACACATTTCACTCTTCTTAATTCTATCTTATTTAATCCATCTTAATTTGAGTCATTATATTTGTATCTTTTGTCCATTCTTTATTATCCCTTTGTCTCATTCCTTATAATAAAAAAAAAGAATTTCTCCTGAAATCACTAATCAGAGTATGATGCCTTTCTATCTTCCCCCTAAATTAATTAGATTAACATTTAAAATAACACCTAATACCCAATCTGATTCTGCTTGGTACATTCTATCTACTAATTTTTTTTTTAATAAAAGAAAAATAATAAATCCAAAATGATTAAATACATAGTTAAATAATAGATCTAAATATTGAATCTTATAACATTCCCATTGCCTTTTCCAAAGACAAATGCTACAATAATAATTTTATAATAACATCAATACCATAGTCATATTAAACTCTTTAATTAAAACTCAATATTCTAAACATTCCCTTTAATATTTTATTAAATTTTAAAATCAATCATTACTAAACATTTCAACATTTTAATCTCTTATTAACTCTTAAACCATTCTAATTTTCTATTTCTAATACAAATGCTACAATACCATCTTATGTACCTTGCAAAATCTTTTTTAAAGAAATTATACTTTACCCTTTGTCCCTAAAAAAGATTCCTCTTTTCCCATCTGATTTCAAAACTTTGTGGCTTTTCTCCACCTTTTCCCTTTCTTTCTTCTCCCACCAGACCTTTCTACCCCCCCTTCTCCTAGCCTCTGCCTTACTGGCTTCCCTTCTCTGTTGTGTTCCTTTTTTCTTTTGTTTACTATCATTATATTGATTTTGCACCTTATTTTTCTCTTTCTTGAATGTTTTTTTAAATCTTAAGTCCTTCATTTTCCTTCCTTTCTTTCTTCCTTCTTTCTTAGTTAAATTTTGAAATTCATTAAAGATGGCTTCTTCTTCTCCTTCTCCTTCTCCTTCTCCTTCTCCTTCTCCTTCTCCTTCT